TTGAGGAGGAAAAAAAAAAAAAAAAAAAAAAAAAAGAGTTCCTCTTAAAATTCTTCTATTTTGGTATTGTTCAGAGATGATCACAAGAAAATCAAGTAACACCTGTAATTCCAGCAAGACCAGAGTTGGAGGCCAGCCCGGTTTACAAAGTGAGTTCAAGGCCAGTCTGATCTGCACAGTGAGACCCTGCCTCAAAAAAACAAAAAGAAAGAAGGGAGGGAGCACGAGGAAGAGAGGGAGACAGGAAGACAGGGAGGGAGAGAGGGAGGGAGGGAGAAAAGGAGGGAGGGAAAGAGGGAGGGAGGAGGGAGGAGGGAGGAGAGAGAAGGGAGAAGGGAGGAGAGGAGGAGAGGGGGAGAGGGAAAAAGAAAGAAAAAGACAAGACAGACAAACAAAATCAGACAAACTGCAAAGGAAGGGTCACCCTACAAGTCAGAGCAGCAGTCAGCTCTGGAAGGGAGTAGAGGTCATGGGTGCACTGTTGTATTTTTCATCTTGGGTGACGCTTAGGCAGGTGTGTATTCTGTAATTTTGAAATTGTACATTTCTTTTGTGCACTTTGCTACATGTACTAAATTTCAAAACGGGATCTAAAAATGCTTATTCTGTATATGTGCCTGCGGTTTACCACAGAGCCTTGTACATGTTAAACTATATCCCCAGCTCCTTCTCTAAAAAGCGTACATTCTTTTCAGCTATATCTACATGCATTAGTCACTATAACTGTATTTCAGCACCATAAAAATACTTCTGCTTTTCTGTATTAACTCATGGGTAAGCACTCACACTGTGTCCTTCATTTCATGTTTAAAAACTACACAACAAAACCCAGTCTCGACTTTATGTGCCCTCTAATTTACAAGCTAATGGCAAATAAACATTTAATATGAAAAATTACTGGGGAAAATGACTTATTTTTATAGTATATAACTTCAACCTAACATTTTAGTCACAAAAATATGTAAAATATTAAATTATCAATGTATATTATTGACAGAAAAGGTATCATTATCAGCTTAGCAAAAACTAAGGACCAGCCTTGTGCATACAAACAGTACCAACCCATCATTCTCATGGCATGGAGGACGAAAACACTGGATTGTGCTCACCATTTAAATACTGATAGGTGTGAGTTATGTAAGTAAATAGCTATTTGCAATTTCAAAAAATCTGCAGTCAGAGGGCAGAAAAGTACCAAAAACAATATAAATTATGCTAAGCAAATTATCACATTAAGTATGAGGTTTTTGGGGGCTGGGGATTTAGCTCAGCGGCACAGCGCCTGCCTGGCAAGTGCAAGGTCATGACTTCGATTCCTGGTACCAGAAGAAAAACAAAACCAAAAAAAAAAAAAAAAAAGGGTTTTTTGAAAAGATAAAAGGAAAACCCTGGTGGCAAGAGGGAACAGAAAAATCAGAAGGAGGAGATGGGTAGAGAGACAGAGAAAAGAAAGAATAAACTCAAGACAGTAATAAAGAAGAGACACATGGAATCCAGCAGCACAACCATGGAAGGCCACGAAGGCTCATCCCCAAAGATGGCAACAGGGTCATACAAGCATTCAAAATCAAGACTGCCATACGATTTCTGAGCTCGGTGGTAAGGATGTGTTTTGCGGCAATCAGAAGCTCCTTTCTGAGGTGTGCAGTCTCTGCTGGACAATTTGAGAGTAACTGTAACATTCCTTTGACCATCTGCTGAGAATATTTCGTCACCAACTCCTGTCAAAAGGGTAAAGTTACACAGTCACACTGCCAAAAAGATGTGCAGAAAAGCTCAAATTCTATCAGCTTTTTAAAAATTCAGTAAGACTAAGCTTGACTAAAGGCCCTTCATGAAGTTACAGGTCTACAAAACAAGCAATATTCAAAAAATTCTAACTGTTGCGTGTGCATGCATAACTGCTGTCATAGCAGAAGACGTATGGCAATAGCCCTTTATGCACAGTGGGATTATGGATGCTATCTGCATTTTTTCTGTACTTTTCCAAGTGCCAATGGTGCATATGTATTATTTTCTTAATGCTATTAAGTGTTTAAATGTAAATACTCTTTACTTAGTCATCCCATTAATGTTAGTCATGAATGACACCAGAGACTACAAAAACTCAGAATAACTCTAGTCACAGTCTCCTTTAGAAGTATCTCAGGAAGGCAGTTTAGCAAGAGAACCCAGGCTGATTCACTCAACCGTCAAGGGGTATAAAAATTTCAGTCAGGCAAAACAAATGCTCTACTTCCTTACTGTAAACTATCACTAATTAAACACATCACAACAGAAAAAAAAAAATTACAAAAGCTTTCAAAGGTAGCTTTTTTGGTTTTTTTGAAACAAGGTCTTACTAAGTAGGTCAGGCTGGCCCTGAACTCACAGCAACACTTCTGCCTCAGCCTCCTGAGTACTGGCATTATAGATATGAGTCACCACTCCACGCTGGTAGTTTTTATTCTTACAATTTAGCATACACTTTTACTTTTATTTTCCTAAGGTAAAATTCTTATAAAAAATTATTAATTACAATTCCATGGCCATAGAACAGTAAGAACTAAACCTATCCCATACTGTAAGCATCAAGCTGAGCATGGCAGCACACACCTATAGTTCCAAAACTCAGGAGACTGAAGCAGGAGGATCACCACAGGTTTGAGGCCAGTCTGGCTACATAGTGAGTTCAAGGCCAGCCTGAAGTACATAGCAAAACCCTGTCTCAAAAAAACAAAGAACCAATTATACCGGAATTTTAACTAATGGAAGATAAGGTCTAATTTTTGTCCTTCAAGTTCTTATTGTTTAAAGAAGGACTACAGCTAGTCTCACAGGTGTCCAACCTTTTGGCTTGGGTGGACAGCAGCAAGTGAAGAGGAATTGTTTTCAACGTCATATAAAATAATATAGTTAATGTAGGTAAGTAACAAAACTTGCTTTATATGTGTATATTATTATAACAAAAAAATGCAGGCAGCCTACCGGCTGCATGTTGGACCAGCCTCCTACAGGTGCCTCAAAAAAGCATCCAAAACTACCTTCACGGTTTTATTTTGTAATGCCATTTTTAAGTTCCAATCTCCTCCACCCCTATTTGTCTCAATATATAACTCCTAACAACATCAACAAACCAAATTATCTTCCCATGAAAATCTATATGCAATGTTTACTCATAGAGTTTTAATCCTAACAGCCAAAAATAAAACAGGCACATTATCAAGACAAAAACTACATTAGTCACTGCCAAGACTGGGGGTTGGAGGAGACTAACAGTGACTCCTAATAGGTTCAGGGTTTCTTTTATGGATGACAAAATTGTTTTAGTATTATATAGTGGTGACAGTTGTACAGATCAGTGAATAAGCTAAAAACTGCTCCATTTGATGATATGTAAATTACACCTCAATAAAGCTGGTTTTTAAAAAACTGGAAACAACTTAAATGTACAGCAATTGGTAAATGGTTAAATCCATCATGGTACAATCAGAAAACAGAATACTATTACCATGGACTAAACAGTGCCACCCCCACCACCATCAAATTCACATTATTAATGTCATAACCACCAACATGGAGGACATGGAATTAGGGTATTTTGGAGGTGAAGTTACATGACATCATAACCTGGGAATATAATCTCCCAAGACTATGGTCTTATAAAAAGCCAACTCTTCAATACAGAAGAGGAAAAAGGCCACCTTTGGCAAATGAAAGAGACTGCTCTCACTAGAACCCAAACCCTGCTAAAAACTTAATCTTGGCTTTTACAGTCTCCAGAACACGCGTAAGATAAACCTATATTGTTTAAACCACTTAATTAATGGTATTTTATTAAGGCAGCTGAGCAGACTAAGACAACTAGCCAGTAATAAAAATATGTCATCTTGATAAAATAACAAGGATGAATCTCAGCATTATTGCTAAGTGAAAGAAGCCAGTTATCAACAAATTACATTCATTACATACTACATATACGACATTTATAGGACACTGGAAAAGGCAAAATAGTTTGAATAGAAAACAGATCAGAGTTTGTCAGGAACTACAGATGAAGAAAGTGACATGAAGAAGAAAATGTACACAAGGAAATTTTTTGGGGTGAGGAAAATATTCTGTACCTTAATGTATTGATCATTACTAACTGTAAGTAATTGTCAAGTTAAAGAAATGTGCACTCACAAAAGGTAAATGTTGTTATATGTAAATTATACAAAAACAAAATCAGGGATATTGCTCAGTGGCTTAAGTGTCTGCCTGGCAAGAACAAGATTCTGAGTTTGATTCCAGACACCGAAAAAAAAACGAAAACAAACAAACAAAAACAAAAGTCAATGAACTTACCTGATAAATTCTGATGATATAAGCTAAAAATGACAATGTTTTAATCTGAGCAGCAATGAAGTCAGCATATAACTCCTTGTTGTAAAGCTTATGTTGCCTGAGTGGGAAATGAATAAAATTTACAGTATTACCTCTCACTCTTTAGATGATGTTAGTGTTAATTAAACACCTATAACAGTGACTAAGCCCACAAGTTTATTTCTACACAGACTAGAATGATACAGGAACAACACAAATGTTTATATACTTTTACAAAGTTCCAAATAACAAAGGGCTCAAAGGGCCCAAACCAAGCAGCTCACCAAACTACTACATAGCAGTTACAATGTAAATTCTGTAAAGCTGATGGTAGACTGATCCACTCCAACACAAAGACTGTTAGTGTACCCTATATGCTCACTGCAAGCCCTGCACTGGGTACATGGGGTTGTCTGAAATAACTGTCCTCAAAGGACTCAGCAAATAGGCTGCAGGTCAAGAGTAAGTAAGCCTTTTAAGTCTTAAGAGGAACGGTATGAGGTTTGAAAAACGGCGCCAAAGGATAAATATGGCAGGACTGTTCAGAAATTCAGGGCGAAAAAATAAATAAAAAATAAAAAAAATGCAGGGTGATAGGTGAGGGGGCACAGAGGTAAGGAACACCATAGCCCTCATGCTGAAAGGAACAGCCAGAGCAAGGGCCTGACAGTGAGCAAAGCCTGGACATCCCACAGTGAGTACAGTAAAGCTTAATGACACTTCTAAACTTACAAGATAACAAAAACCAAAACATCACATCTTTTCAAACTGAGGAACCAAAGTAACTGTAGCTATTATTACTGAAACACAAGTTAAGAAAGTCAGAAGTTCACATATAATTTTACAACAATTTTAACAGTCATCATTTTGATGTCTTAAGAATGATGGTACCAAGTGCATTACTATATGGAAGTAAAGCACTGTAGCAGTCAGCTATGTCGCTATCCAGAGAAATCTCACCTGGCTTGTGCAGATACCTGAATTGCAATAGTATTCATGATCAAGGGTACAAATTCAGCAACAACATTGTGGATATTCAGTTTGTAGAGCTGAAAGCAAACACATCATATTTTCAAGCTTTCACAGCAAAATAACTGGCATACCGAAGAAACTATAGAAGTCATTACATTAGTTAGCCTGTGTGCACCATAATCTCTTGCTGCAGAATACTAGCTGTAATTTTGTCACAAAGACAAAAAACACAAAAAATGAATATGCATAATACGTACCTGGTACATTAACACAACAATAATAGGCAATTCTGCCAATACTTTTAAAGAAAGCGATCCTCTAGGAATGATGGAATGCTGTAAGAAAGAAGCAGAACTATGGTTTTCACTGTGGTATTTACAGTCGGCCCATCATTGTCCCATTAAGCATCAATGCACTGAAACAGAACACTGACACATCTTCGTACACATCTGTGATGAAAGAGCCAAACTATTTTGAAAGCAAAGTACAAAGAACTACCATTTAATATAGTTTTTATATTTTCTATCAATCATAACCATTTCTAATAAAAACTTCAAGAAAATCTATCAAAAGATTCAAATCATGTAAGAAAATGAAACTACTATTTCTACTGAAAGGAATAGCAAAAAACATCAAAAGTGTAACTTTTTGATCAGCAGTTTTATTTAAAGATACTTATAAAGAGAAAATAATGTTTATAATGAATGTTTTAAAAAAACCTGATTTGAGAACACGAAACAGGTAAGGAAAATGTCACCCAAAACACAAATGGACAACAGACATGAACAGATAAGCAAAAAAAAAAAAAGTGGGGGGAGAGAATACACAGAAAAGGTCCTAATTCAAGAGTAAAGGAATAAAAGCTTTACCTAAAACTTAGTTTCTTGGTCATCTTACCACAAACTGAAACATTCTTTTCCTTTCTTTTTGAGGCAGGGACTCGCTATGTAGTTTAGGCTGGCCTTGAATTTACAGTAATCCTGGCTCAGCCTCCTGAGTGCTGATAAATTGAAACATTTGGCATAGCTATTTAAATAAATGAGTGATAAAATATTATCACTTCATCATAAGAAGTCATGAGAAAACCACAATACATGTTACCTCTGCAGCAGACGCTAAAAAACAACACAATACCTGCAGACAATCCCACAAAATTCCCACAACACAAGATTCACAAAAATCCCACGACACAGGTTTTTCAGATAAGAGGAAAAATAAAATCAGAATGGAAGGTTAGACCTTTCTCTACACCAGAAAATCACAACAGTGGACAGAAACACTGTCCTGGTGCTCTATGCCCCAGAGCCCATGCTCTCAGTTGCTCAACTAAAATTTTATCTGTTGTTTCAGGAACTTCATTAATGTCAAAAGACTCAATGCTGCCAGGGGCAATGGTACACAACTGTAATCCCAACACTCTGGGAAACTGAGGCAGGAGGATTACTATAAATTTGAGGCCAGCCTGGGTTACCCTATAGTGAGTTCAACGCTAGCCACATTATATAGTGAGACTGTCTCAAAAAACAACTCAAAATGCTTAGTACAAAAAGAATAGAGGCTCCTAAACCTGGTCTGCTGGTCTTCCCTACAGGAGATTCTGGGTTTCTGGGACATAATGGTCTTTACATCCTGGCATGAATGGAGCCCAACGGTTCACCTATACTCATTTTTAGGCTGCACAGCAGAACCAGTGATACTCTGCCAGGCACACATATTTATTTATCTTAATTAAATGCCTCCAAGTATTAGAGAAAAACTTAACCATCTAAAAGTCAACATCTCACTTTTTTTCCTCTATCAACTCCAGAAGCAGTGAATTAAAACAAAACAAAAACAACTCAGCAAAGCAGCTGAAAATACTTACTGTCCGTGTCTCACTGTCCTCACGCTCAGGACTGACTTTCACAGCAATTGTGGTTATCATACCAACCATCTCCGGAGGAGGCACTGTGTTCTCAGGGATCACCTGAGGGTTCTCAAAGTAGCGGTTCTATGTAAAGAGAATAAAATTCACTTGCCAGAACGTCACACACAAAATGTACCTGACATTTTCTGGAAGAAACCAAAATGCTTCTAGAGTCAGGAGGGGATGTAATGATATATAAAAATATAGAAAATACACATCATTTCCCCCAAAAGGCTTCCAGATTATGAGCTTTACCATACATAAAACACACAAAGTGAAAAAACAACAAAATCTCAATGTCAATCATTTCTGACAAGTCAGAATTATGGCTACCATACTTTCTGCTTTTTTCCAAAATCTCTACAGTAAAAACAAATTGTTTGTATGTCAAAAGTATTTAATCTCAATATGGAAATCCAAAGAACTTTTTGAATGGCTGACTCATCAACCTAGATTTTAACCATCAGTAAACATTCCCCATCCTAAAATTAGCAAAAGAGCCCTCCCCAAATTTTTTCTTCAAACAAATTATTCAAAATTTGCTTTGGAATAAAGAAATAATAAATACAACTAATAAATTCAAACTACAGTAAAAACATACCACTACTTTTGGAAGTTCCTTGTAAATCTGTTTCACAAAATCCAAAAAATGATGAATCTGAAAAAAAATTTTTCATTATAGGATGTTTACAGAAAATGGTTAAAATAAGAAAAAACTTAAGTCTTAATACATAACAGCTCATAAAACAGATAAAGAAAATGGCAGACAAGATACAAATAAGGAACCAAAAGGAAACACAAAAGACTGATAAACAGCAAACAAGTTTCTAATTCAGAAACAGAAAAAAAAAAAAAGAGAAAAATTGAAAAAATGCTGCTTTTTGCCTTTCAAAAATAACACAGCACATGAAAGGCTGTGTGAGAGGGAGTTTCTCATACTTCTAAGAGAATCAAACTGCTGGAATCAACTTAGCAATATAGTATTATTTCAGGAGCATAAAACATCAATACCTTTGAATCAGGAATTTACTTCTACAAGCCTAGTTGATGGCATAACATAACTTTAGTCATAAAAATATTCAGTAATGGCCATAAAATAAAAATTTGAAATATCTTAAATATCTAGAAATGACATCCACAAGAATATTATCCAGCCATTAAAAACTACTTATGCTTAGGAGAAGGGTTACATATAATGTGAAGAAAAAAAACAACAAATGTTATATATATTATCCCAATTACATGGAAACTATACACATTAAAAAAAGGAAAGGGAATCACCCAGATACTAAATACCTGTACTGTTAACGCGGCTGCGGCTGTGGGTCAGGTGTTACCCTTAAGTACGTAACGAGTCTGTATCTCCCAGATCAGCTGTGACCGCTATAGGCTAAGGTGGTAGGAAGTCTTATTTCATCCTTATGCTTTCAACTGACATTCTACAGCAGGCACTAAGGTTATCCTAAGATATTCTCTTAATTATGACTAACACAGTATGGTTACTGCTTATTATGTAGGTAATTACTGAGCTAAGAACTAACTTTTGTATCTAATTCTTCAGCCATTTTGAGGACATACTTTAATTATCCCCATATCAAAGAAAAGGCTTCAGAAGGCTAGGAGCTCACCCAGTGTCACTGAAGAGTTAAGAGAGCTGAGAGCCAAACAGCTCTAAACACAGAACTCTCATCTTAACCCTGGTCCAACACACCATAACTGGAGCATTCTGGCAAGTCAGCTTAAATGGACTGCCAGCTTGGGTGGTTAATACATTTCAACTACAGGATAAATTCAGTAAAATACAATATACACATACAAAATAAAGTCCCAGTAAACCATAAAGAATTGCCCCGCCTTAGGGTATATTTTTTACACTTAATAGCTGCACTTGTTGAATCAACTCCAAAAGAGTTCATTTATACAGCAGAAGGAACCTGTTGACACTTTAAGAAATTCTATCAATAAATTACTTACTTCTTGTGTGATTGGCGGCCTGAACTGTTTGTGTAGTTCAATAATTATTCTTAAACAAATAAGAACATTTTCTTCATTTTCCGTCTTAAAAAAAAAATTTAAAGTTATACTTCTGAAGATTTAATCTCAAGAATAAATTTTCTAAGCATATTCTGCATACATACCCTCCATCAACCAATTTACAGTTGATTTGCTAACAATTCATAAACCAGCTCAAGTGCAACTCACTAGCAAGCTTTGTGGGAATACAACTGATAGATGGATGAATTGGTGTATACAGCAAGTCACACCATGAACTAATGTCTTAATGGCCACACTGACATTATTCACTGGTTAGAAATACAGGGTTGGGGAAAATTCCACACCTGACTTCATGCAATGAGTCACAGTCAAAACATAGATACACTAAAAATATACTATATAAAATTAACTTCAGACTACATGTGTAAGATTTATATGAAATAAGTGATTTTTTTTTTTTTTTGTACTGGGAATTGAACTCAGGACCTCATGCTTGCCAAGCAGGCACTGTGCCACTGAGCTATATCCCCAACCTGAAACAAGTGAATTTTGTATTTACACTCAGGCTGTATCTCAAACATTACAAAATCAAAAAAAAAAAATCCAAAATACTTCTGGTGCTAAGAATTTTTTTTTTTTGGTTTCTTGAGACAGGGTCTCACTATGTAGTTCAGGCTGGCCTTGAACTCACTATGTAGCCTAGGTTGGCCTTGAACTCATGGCAATCCTCTTGCCTCAGCCTCCCAAGTGCTGGGATTACAGGTGTGCACCACCACACCTGGCTCTGGTACTAAGCACCTTTGGTTAAGGGATACTCAACTCATATTGCTAAAGATCAGGAAAAAACAGACTACTACTAGTCAACTACCATGGGTTAGACCTCATCCTAAGCACTATACAAATACTGTAAGTGATCCATATTTTACTTATGAGGAAGTGAAGCCTAACAGAAGTTAAGCAATGTGGCTTCATGCTAGGGGGTAGTAAGTGGCAAGAGTCAAGACAGAAATCCAGTTCTATCCTACTCCAAAGCTTATCTTTCCAAAGGTCCCCAAAACAATAGAATTCTAAATACATTAAGAGCAACAATTTTAGGAATTTAACAGATACCAACTAGATTCACCCCAAGAATTCAAGACCTTCTTTATGAATACCTGCTGTTGTAAAGCACTATGCCTGAGATATACATCGCAGAATGCACAACACAAATGAACCCTGTGCAGAGTTTGATAACCATCACCCAATATATTTGCCGCACATATTTCGCTATGTCTAGTCAAAAACCCTCCTGTTAAGTACTGTACTCTTTCTTAATGAAAGGAAAATAGGGGGAAGGGAACAAAGAAAAACTTTTCCTCAAGTGAATAAACACTTCAGTGAAAAGGAAACAACTGTATAATTCTGGATTTTTCTAAAAGAAAACCACTCACATTTTTTAACATGGCTACACAGTAAGAATTAACTCTCAAAGGTTACCTCTAAAAAGCGAAACATCACAGATAAAACATTTTTTGTATGAGGACGAAGATGTTCATTGGTTGGTATTCTATGAATTATTTCAAGTACTAGCTTCCGCAGTTGCTGGTGAGGAAAAATGGAAACATTAAGATAAAATGCATCAAAGAGTCCCAATTAATTGTCTCACAGTCTACATGTATCATGGGTACCCAGTACCTAATAGTAACCACCACAAAACCACATGAGTCCAATTTGAGCTGAGCATGATGGTGCACACATATAACCCCAGCTAGTCGGAAGGCTGAGGCAGGAGGGTCAAAACCTTATGGCTAGCCTGGGCAACTAATAAGACCTTGTCTCAAAATGAAATTAAAAAGGGTGGAGAATATACCCAGTGGCAGAGTAATTGCTTAGTATATGCAAGACCTGATATTCAATCACCAGCACCACACACCGAAAGAAAAAATCAAAGATGGATCTAATTTCACAAAGACTCTTGTAAATTACTCAAACCTAATCCAAAATATATACTGAAAATCATTATCTTCAGTATTTCTACAACTGCATACCAAAATCAACTGAACTAACTCTTCACAACTAACTAGTATTGCCATCAGAAGGACAAGTGTGCAAATACAGAATAGACTTGAAAGAACAAAACAAAGCCAATTTGTTTTGTTTTATTTTTTGAGACAAGGTATCACTCAGCAGTTCAGGCTGGCCCTGAACTCACTATGTAGCCCAGGCTGGCCTCAAACTCATGGTAATCCTCCTGCCTCAACCTCCCATGTGCTGAGGTACAAGCATGCACCACCACGCCCAGCATCAAACTGAATTTATAATCTCACCTTACAATCTCAGATTGTTCCCATAAGGCAATCTCCAATTACTCTGGACCCAAAGACTAGTTACATCATGAACTGTTTTAAGCTTCTACGATTCTGCCTATGGGGCTGACAACTAAAAGGCAGGTCAAATATGTAACTTCCTCAACTGGTACAATATAAAAATACCTCAACTAGCAATATTTCACTGGTAGTATGACAACCTTTTAAAGTCCTTTTAAAGACAGGCAAGCTGAAATAGTTATAGACAAAGGGTATAATGGGACTACTTTAAAATGACTGAGTGAGAGAGGAGTGTGAAGAGTGGGGCTGTACAGATAAGATGAAACTGGCCGTGAGTTATAAAACCTAAAATTAATAAGATTAGTGCTGCTTGTGGATATGGGAGGTAGTATCATTAAATCATTAGTTTTTCTTAGTATACATCTGAATTTTTCTGTAATAAACAGTATATACATATACATCAGCAACTGGCAAACAAATTGTAAAAGCCAGGCATGATAACACATGCATATAATCCCAGCACTCTGGAAGGCTCACACAGGAAGATCTCAAGTTCCAGCCCAGAACAGGTAATTTAAGAGATTTAGTGAAAACATGTGCTAAAATATAAAATAAAGAATTAGAGCGGGCTGGGGATTCAGCTTAGCGGCACAGCACCTGCCTGGCAAGCGCAAGGTCATGAGTTCAACTCCCCGTACCGGGGGGGGGAAAAAAAAATTAGAGAGTGTAACTCCATATGAAGACCCTAAGTTTGATCTCCATTCCAAAAAAAAAAAAAAGAGATGGCCTAGACAAAATAAACCTGAATTTTGATTGAGGAGGTAATAGCTCTGGACCAAGTATTCCTCAACAGACAAAACTTTCTTTCTTGAGAGAAGGTCTTGCTACGATGCCTGAATTACCCATGCTGCTGGGTAATCCAAGCTCTTGGAAGGCTGAGGCAAGGAGGCTGCCAAAAGTTGGAGGCCTGGCTGGGCTACAAAGTGAGTTCAAGGCCAGCCTCAACTACAAAGTGAGATCCTGTCTAAAAAAAAGAAAAAAAAATTTTTTTAAATGTTAAATTAGGCCGGGTGTGGTGGCACACGCCTGTAATCCCAGCACTCAGGAGGCTGAGACAGGAGGATCGGTGTGAGTTTTAGACCAGCCTGGGCTACAAAGTGAGCTCAAAGCCAACCTGAGCTGCATAGCGAGACCCTGTCTCAAAAAAGACAAAAAAAAAAACAAAAAACCACCACAAAAAACAAACCAAACCAAAAAAAAAAAAAAAAGTTAAATTACCCAGAGTGGCCTCTAACTTGTGATTCTCTTGCTTAGCCACCAGAGTAGCTGGGATCATAGGCCTGCACCACCACACCCATCTCGCTTTCATTTTTAAATGGAACTGTAAGTTTTCTGAATTGTCTTACTTCATAAATGCTTGCAATCCAACAGCATGGCATTTCTCTCTCACAGATTCTTTTGAACAGATTACCTGGGCTGGTTTCTCTTGAAGAAACTGGACTTCTCCATCTTGGAGAAATGTAAGAAATCGAGGGATGATATGTTCCAGGAATGTAGAATACTGAGGAGATGATGTCACATTCTAATTAGAAAAAAAAAAATTCCCATTAAGTTTTGAATACACATTTTCATCTCAAACTCATAATAACCTCAGAGAAACATAAAACATTTTTACAGGGCCAACAGTAACTTTGAATATTCTTAGATGCTTCTGTGATAATGAAGTTTTACATATACTGAGATGATTGCTGCTTCTGAAATCCAATTCAAGAGAACTGACGGCTAAAATTTACTGTTACAGACAGGTGTGGTGGCTTATGTCTGGGATCCCAGCACTTGGAAGGCAGAACCAGGCAGACTGATGCAAGTTTAAGGCCAGCCTGGGCTACATAGGGAATTCAAGGCTAGAAAAATCCTGTTTTAAAAAATAAATAAGTAAATAAAATAAATTTGCTAAACATAGAAATGTCAATGCTGACACTGACATTCATTACAGCACTATTCACATTAGCCCAGAAACAAAACATAAATGTGCATTAACTGATGAATAGGTAACAAATGTGGTACAAGCCAGGTGTGGTGGCTCATGCCTATAATCCCAGCACTTTAAGAGGCTAAGAAGGACTGCAAATTCAAACCCAGCCTGAGCAACTTGGCAAGCTCTTGTCCCAAAATAAAAAATTTTAGAAAGGGTTGGGAATGTAGCTTAATGTGAAGGTTCTGGGTTCAATCCCCAGTACTAAAGAGGGGAAAAAGAAAAAGAATATGGCACACATATACAACGGAGTACTTTCAGCTATGAAAAAAACTGAAATTCTTAAATTTTTGACAACAGGATGGAACTGGACATCATGTTAAGTGAAATAAACTAAGCACAGAAAGCCTTGGATGTGGAATCTAAAAAAGCTGACTTCACAGAAGTTCAGAGCTGACCAGTGGTTAGTTACCAGAGCCTGGGGAGAATAGTAAGGAGGGAGGGAAGGACAAGGCAAGGCAGAAATAGCTAGATAGGAGGACCCTGGTATGCTACTGCACAGTAGGGTAACTCTAGATACCAATAATTACTACATGTTTCAAACCACAGAAGAAAATACTTGGAATGTTCTCACAATACAGAAAGAAAAGGGCTGGGGGTTTAGCTCAGCGGCACAGCACCTGCCTAGCAAGCGCAACGTTGTGAGTTTGGTTCCCAGTACCGGAAAAAAACAAAAAAAAAAAAACAAAAAAAAGAAAGAAAAAATACATTTAACCTGACTTAAACATCACATAACATATGTATGTATTGAAACATCACAAGACCCTACTAATGTGCACAACTTTTATGTCTGTTATCAGTTAAAAATAAGATTTAATTTAAATTTTAAAAAAGAAGGAAAAAAGTGCCACTGCTGTGGGAAATGCTAAACTGGGAAGCCCATTCTAGGATGGCTCTGCCACAATTCCAGTACGAAACCTCCTAGAAAGTCATGTGGCTTCTAGTGAGTTCAAGGCAGCTACAGTGAACCCTCAGTGACCGGCCTGACATACAAACAACTTGGGTTATGACCGGAATTTAAGTTTTAACTCGTGACCAAAACCTTGAGCTATGACCCAAATGCCGGCTGCTTGTGCTTCCAGATGGCCTTGCGTACAGATTTAACTCTTAGACAGGGCTAAAACATCGTACATCACATTCTTCCCGGCGCGGGGTTAAATGAGGAATCCCGGGCCGAAGTCTCTCTAAGGACACTGAGATCTGCCTGTACACAGGAGAGAGACTTTGAAGGTGTGTGGGGGAGCCAGAGCCTTCAATTGCTTCAACTGACAACCTGAGTTACAACCAGCCGTTGAGAACGAATTGAGTTTGCACATCAAGGGTCCACTGTATAACCTTTTCCTCATCTGGGAAAGGAAAAGCCTAAACAAACTAACATCTTTTTCCAATCTAAATATCTAACTTATTAATTAGATCAACTATTATTAGCTCTAACTTAACTCATTATTTCTCTGATTTCTAAAAGAATAACAGGAAATGAAAACTCTAGTTTGGAGATAACATAGTGAAATGGCTAATGCTTTAGGTTCTCAATCCCACCTAACAAGCACAAACTGCAGATATCACTTAACCTCTCTTTGATATTATTTCATGCCTGCCTTACAGACTAATGGGAAGATTACATGAGCTAATATATCATTATCTAGGGTGAACATCAATTATTCTGTTACTATTTACAGATCACCTGTATGCCAAATACTGTGCTAAGTGCCTACCACAGCCCTAACAAAAGCATTACCTAAAAATTTAAAAGGCTCAGAGACTAAAAACTGCCCAAATGTCAGAGTTTCAAATGTATCTAACAATGAAGTTTTCTCTCTTAATGTATCACTTATTTATCTGAAAAGTATTTATTGAGCTCCTATCATGTGCTCAAAGGAGATGAGGCTGGAACATGTGATCCTCCTGCCTCAGGCTCCCAGAATGGTAGGATTACAGTTGTGCACCACCATGCTGGGCCCATTATAGTCTTCATTCAACAAATTGCCTAATTTTTCTGCCAACACTTAAACTTGGCCACCAGCTTCTTGATCCAGATGAATTTTTCAGGTGATTTCTAACTTAAAAGTTGCGGTAGTTTGTCTTGAAAGATAGCCAATGTTATGATTTATACCTAGACGTCCAGCAAAAGCCTCATGCACTCACACTTCGGGCTTTTAGAAAGTGACTGTGTTATTGGGGTTATAGCCGACTTGCTTTAGGAGGTGGGGTCTTGTCGGAAGAGGTGAGTCATGAGGAGGGGACATGACCTGGAAGGATTTATCTCCCTCCCAGGCTTCCCCTTCCTCTCTGCTTCCTGTCTGCCATGCCACGAACAGCTCTTCTTAGCCATGCATTTCTGCCATTCTGTCCTGCCTTGGAGCCAGCTGATCCATGGACTAAAATGTGAGCTAAATAAAACTTTCCTCAAAGTTGTGAGTGTCAGACATTGTGCCTCAGCGATGAAGAAAGTAACTAAGATACCCAATTACTTAGTCCGAAGTGTTATCCCTAAATAGAGAAATGAATCCCAAATCACAAGGAAAAGATCCAAGTATACTGCTTCACTAATTTTTTTTTTAGAATAGACTGGAAAAACTTTCTTTCTTTTCCTCCCTCCCTCCCTTCCTTCATTTTTGATACTAGGAATCAAACTCAGGACCTTGTGCTTGCCAGGCAGGTACTTGTGCCACTAAGCTATATCCCTGGCCCTGGAAAAACTTTACAGGAAAAACAAAATGCATGTCCTTTGCCTTTGAAATTGTCTTGACAGAGATGTTCCATATTATTTCTCATGTTTAGTACTTCTTTAAGTACTCTTTATATGTGAATCATTATTTTTACTTTACATCCTTTTTGAGCCTTCGTTGTTCAATTTGCCTTAGATCTTCCTCTTCACGTTCTATGTTTTTCCTTTTCTATTTCTCTTTTCTTCTTTTCACTCTCTAACTGTACCCTTTCCAACTGCTTCTGGTGTTTTTCCTCCCTAGCCTGAGCCTTCACCTGTTGTACTTCAATAGTACCAGGTTTCGTTTTTCACACATGTAATTCATGCTTTCCCATACATAAGGCCAAAATCTGCTTACTGACGCTCAATCAAGATGTAATCCAAATAGAGCTCAGCCCATGGGCTTGTTTCTGCAGGTTCACAAGCTGCCCCAGAATTCAGCCTCTCCAGTTACCTGCCAGGACTACAGTTCTCTCGAGGATTCCTTCAATAAAATGCAGAAGGTAGGCTTACCCTCTTTTACCTCCCATCTTTTTATGTTTTGTTTTGTTTTTAACAGCTTCCTTTAGCAGCCTGGACTAAAAAAGAGAAAACTCCTTAACTACATCTCCAAATAGCCCAGGACTTTTTCCCAGCTTGGCCCAAGGCTACAAGTCCTTAAAGATGTTAATTTAAAAACAATGACAACAAAAAAACCTCAACAACCAGCCAAGTAAACTACAGACAGGGTATCTGATTCAATCCCACTAGCATTTGTCCAATGTTTTTTAATTCAAAACACCATGCAGACACTAGGAAACATCTATTGTTTTAAAACTTATCAACTCTGAGAGTTAATTTTATTATCTCCACATTAAAAACAAGAAGTATGGCTTTCTCATCTATCTGGTGAGATTAGCTGGTACTCATATGAACCATAAAGCTGGGAAAAAGGAACTGAATGTGGTCGTACAACCCAGTGATTCCAGCACTCTGGGTGGCTGAAGCAGAAAGATCACAAGTTTAAGCCCAGCCTGGGCAATTTAGCAAGACCCTATCTCAAAATAAAAAAATAACTTTTTTTCAGATGGACAAAGGGTAGAGCAAGACCATGATTTCCAAGAGATGAGTTTCTCCCCTCAGCTGACATGTGATAGGGCTCAGCTAGGTTCAAGTAGAATGTAAGACAGGCCCGCTGAGATGGCACAGCCCAGAGAAAAATGAATTACTGAATTGCCCCAAGGCCTTGGTAGATGGTTGGGCTGCAAAGATACAGGATAACACTACCTGAGGTCTGGCTTTAGGATTGTGAGATGAATAGAGTATTGAGAGTTTAGCAAGGTTAAAAGATGTTGGAGTTCAAGCCTGCCCAGGATGCAAAGTCCTACTTAGTATGCTAGTAACATCCCAGACATCAGACATACAGCTGAGGAAGGCCATGCCCCAGCAAGGCCTATTCTAAACCAGCTGCAACAAAGCCTAAAATTAACTCTTGATGCAATCCATGGGGAGACAGACTTTGGAAATTAAATCCAACCAACTCAAAGGGACTTAAGGAAACACCTTAGGCCTTTGATAGATCCTCCCAACTAAAGCATAAGACCATGTCTACATGAGTTCAATGTATTCTAAACTCATTCAGCAACTGAACGACCTACAAGTAAAATATCAACACTCTTCAGAGGTAGGTAACAACAGATTCCAGAACCACTATATAACTTCACTCATATAATGTCCTCTATATAATCAAAACTTATTAGACATGGGCTGGGCATGGTGGCACCTGCCTATAACCCCAGCACTCAGGGAGAATGAGGTAGAAAGACTGCAAGTTCAAGCCCGGGCAACTAGCAAGACCTTGTCTCAAAATATAAAATATAGAAGAACAAGGAGGCTATGACATAAAGATCAAAAGTTCAAAATGAGCTGGGCAAGTTAGTGACTTGGCAAGAACCTGTCTACCACCAAACAAAAACCAAGCAAATAAGAGCAAAAGAATGCAAGTTCTAGAACTGAAAATAAAATAACTGGCATTTTTTAAATATCCAAAAAAGTGAAAACGAACTTTAAAATCCAGTAGACCGGAGACAAAACGTCAAGCAATCTGAGAACAAACCAAAAAAAGACTGAAGAAAAATTAACTGTTTCACAAACCTGTGGGACAATATAAAATTATATAAATAAAGTCAGCTGGGGTGGTACACATATAATCCCACTAAGGACACTGAGGCAGGCACTGGAGGCCAGCCTGAACTACACAGGGAGACCCTATCTCAAAAAAGAAGAAAAAAAGGGAGCTACACATGAGAGTGTGGACATACAGATGAGGTATGAACTTTGTGGCAGCTCTCAAAAAAAATACAGCAAATATTTAAAAATTTTTAAAAACTAATTATAGTAAAAGATATATTGCCAGGCATGGTGGCTCACTCCTGTAATCCCAGCTCTTCAGAGGTTGAGGCAGGAGGATCGCTGCAAGTTCAAAGCCAGCCTGAGCTACATAGTGAGTTCAAGGCCAGCCTACATAACACAGAACCGGCCTATACAACACAGCAAGACCCTGTCTCAAAAAAAACGGTATCACCATTATCCCTCTCAGAATACTTTCTCTCACTCCAAACACACTTATTCCATTGTTCCTGCCTTTCTAAAGCAGTTCTGGAAAGAAATCCTCTTTCATGTTTTTACAAGATATGATCAAAAATATGGTGAACATTCCTGCCAAGTGTAAGCCACTATAAAGGCAGGCTCAGAAAACATGGTGCATCCTCACATCTACTTTATTCACCAGATCTAGCACCCTGCAACTTCTGTCTATTCTCCAAAATTGCATGACAGGAAGGTAAATGTTTCTACTAAATTCAGAACATTGATGCATGCACAACAGTCCAACTAAGGACAAGAAAGGACTTTCATTATGTTTCACAAAGTAGCAAGAACAAGGGGATAAGTATCTTTGAATTGAGGGGGAATATTTTCAGATGGATTAATGGCAATATGTTTTTTACTGTAATAAATATTTTATTTGAACACACAACACACTGTATTTTCTACCAAACCTCGTATGAGGCCCAGAAGAAATTACTTGATCAAAGTCACAGAAGTCTTTCTTTTGTTGTTTCCGACAAGGTTTCATTCTGTAGTTCAGGCTGAACTTGAACTCACTATGGAGCCTAGGGTGGCCTCAAACTCATAGTAATCCTCCTGCCTCAGCCTCCTAAATGCTAGGATTACATGTAGGCATGTACCACCACATCTGGCATTCACAGAAGTCTTACAGTAAGAAATGATACCCAAGTTTCATTCGCTAAAATACTATTACCAGAACGTAACAAACTCACAACATAAGTTTGAGTGCATCCCAAGAGTGCATGTGTAAGAGCTACTAGATTTAAAAATAAAAACATTTTAAAATAACCAAAAAAAAAAAAAAAAAACCCCAACACTTCTCAACATAGTTGGAGTTTATTATCACTAGAAGATGAACGAAACTGCAACAGTCTTAAATTTCAGTTTTAAAATACAAAAAGTTATAATAATAAAGATACTGATTTTTGAATTGGCAAAGATTGAAAGCAGCAATAGAAAAACATAAATGAATACCTCAAAAAGAAGTACAAAATAAGAAAGTTCATACCTCAAAATTTTCACTGACTTCTTGCATCATTTTTAACTTTGTTTCATCAGCTGTAAATGACAAAACAAACCATCAGGTAACTGCAATTATGTTAAGGATGTCCCTAAAATTCCTGGTTTAATAATTTAAGAGAAGCAATCAGATCTTATCAGTTTGACTGTCATGGTCCAATACAAGGCATATAGCTAGTTCCCTACAACCAGTCACACACATTCATACTCTCAGACACAGAAGTGCATGCACAGACACACACACACATACACACTCATGCCTTTTTCGGACTCCAGCCAGAATTGCTCATCACTTTGCTTCTCTACAAGGTATGGAGGAAAAAAACAGGAATTTTTTTTTTTTTCCAGTCTTTTTTTCCAACAGGGTCTCACTTTGTAGTGCAGGCTGGCCTTGAACTCACTACGTAGCCCAGGCTGGCCTCAAACTTGCAGCGATCCTCCTGCCTCAGCCTCCCAGGTGCTGGGATTACAGGCATGCACCACCATGCCCAGCTTAAAACAGGGATTTAAAGAGTTTATTTTGATATTTATCTCCATGTACATATAATTTAAACAGGATTAGTCAGGTTAATACATCTTTTAATGACAAAAGGTTCAACTCACGTGTATTTACATCCGTGAGAGCTGCCACAAACTGAAGGTACTTTTTCATAAGAGTGGTTTGGTCAACCACTGTGGCCCCTTGTGTTGCAACAAATGCCATTTTTCTTTTGAGCAGGTTTCTTTCTCAAAAGAAAAATACCAGGTCCATGAGTTCATCCAGCCTATGAAAAGAAATCTAAGGTTAGCCAATTTATCAAGGGCATGAGCTCACAACTTGTAAACAAAAATCTTACCTAAATGTCTGTACTAATCTAAAAACTTACACATTAATCCAGAATAAACATATTCTACTTTTATGAATATAAAATTTATCCAAATTCATTTTTCCTGAATATGATTTTCAGACAGAGCTTTTCCTTCCTACCACATTTCTTTGTTTCCCTGAGCCACGGGGTGGCAAACATTTTTCTGGAAAGAGCCAGATAGTAAGTATTTTAGACTTTGTGGCCATGCAATCTCTGTCGCAACTACACTGCTCCATTGTAGCCAGCAAGGAGTTACAGACAACATGTAAAGGAGGAATGAGCACAGCTGTGTCCCAATAAAACCTTAATTTTGGATACTGAAATCTGAACTTCATGTAATTCTCATTTATCATAAAATATTCTTTGACATATTTTCTCCAACCACTTAAAAAATACAAAAGCCATTCTTGGGGCCGGGAGTGTAACATGCAAGAGGCCCTGGGTTTGATCCCAAGCACCGAAAAAAATAAAAGCAACTATTCTTAGTTCACAGGTTGTGTAAAAACAGGCAGAACGCAGGATCTGGTCTGCTAACACCTTATCAACTCCTGCCCTAGGCGATTGGTTCTCAAACTGGTGTACCTCAAAATCATCAGAAGCCAAGCGTGGATCCCTAAACATTACCCCAGTGACTGTGACGGCCCCAGGAAGCAGCAGATTTTGTCTGCAGTTGAGGCACTCAAAAAGTACTTCTTCAACACGCCTTAAAAAGCATCTCTTAGTCGAAAACAAATTGCTGATGATGACACTGAGAATTGCCGCTCCAAGTTTACACCCAGAAACTTGGTTTCTGTTTTAAGAACTGGCACAAAAGCGTTCACAGAACCTGGTGAAACAGCTTTTGCCCCTCCTCCTCCTCCTCGCAAAATTACAATCCAGACTAAGAGGTGGTTCCATGGCTTGGTTGCTGCAACCTTTTTGCAGGCCTTTTAACACACACTTCCTTGGAAACGCCACTGATAGGGGCTCCAAAGACACCAAAAACAGGTCCCCGGGAAGAGGCCCGCGGATGTCCGAAAACAGAGGACGTCCGAGGACAGCCCACCAGCAGCCCCAGCCTCAGGGTCGGAAGTCACCAAGGACACCCGGCGGAGGGCACCGCCTCCCTGCTCCAGACACCGCGGACTCCACAGCGCTATCCGCGTCCCCGGGGATCCCGGACTCAGGGTCACGGCCTCTCCCTAACAATCCCACTAGTCCTGCTCCAACTTTTTATAAAGTCTCGATTCCTTTCTCTTTTTATTCTTCTTAAACATCAGATGTTAACTCTGCCATTTCCCGGGACCCCCGAGAGAAGCCAGGCCCCGCTTCCCGGCGTCAGACGAGGGGAAACGTCCCGTTCGTCCTGGCGGTGGGGAAGCGGCTCGGAGCCCCGGGAAGCCGCCAATCCCACCGCGCCCGGCCAGGCGGGGAGGAGGGGACCGGCTCCCCGCGGGAGCCTGGAGCCAACGGCTCCGCCCCGGCTGCGCCGAGCCCAGCGAGAGGCAGCACCGCCCGACCCGAGAGGGCGCTGTCGTCGCCGCCACCTACCTGCGCTCTCCGCGTCCGGCCCGACGAGCGAGGCGCCCGCATGGAGGCCGAGAGGTGGCAGGCTAGTCGAGACACCTCCTGGGAACACGACCCCAAGCCCTCCCCCGAGATCTCCGGTCCCAAACGGCCCCCGAGTCTCCTCCTTTTGTCGCCGTCCCGGGATACTCCGCGAGCGACCGCCCCCTAGGCCGCGCTACGGAGAGCGCCGAGGGCCAATCCCTGCACCGCTAACCCTGCGCCTCCCGCCACCTGCTCCCGATCGACCGGAAGCGATGGAGGCCTGAGAGTGACCAAGACTCCCGCCGCCTGGGGTGGGCTCCGGCGAGGGCCTGCTGGACATCACCACACCTGAAGCCCCCGCTGCGTCGCAGAGGCTCCCCAGGCCCAAGCATCTCGCGCATTTCCCGGGGCCGCACGTCCGCGCGTGCTTACCCCAACCTCTGCGGCCGGCCTCCCGCAGTCCGGCTCGCGCCCTCGGGCGAAGCCCTCACCGCCGCCGCCGCCGCGGCTCCGCTCGCAGTCCCGCCTCCGCTTAAAGCGGCCGCGGCCTCGTCAGCCCGCGGACAACTAGGCCCCAGCGCACCGCCCCCAAGTGGGAGAGGCCTGGGCGGCAGCGGGGCTAGGCGGGGAGGAAGGAGGGGCATCAGGAGCCAGAAGCCGGGAGAGGGGCGGTGGCTCTTCAAACCTGGAGAAGCCAGGCATGGTGGCGCGTTCCTATAATCCCAGCACTCGGGAGGCTGAGGCAGGAGGATCATTCCAAGTGCGAGACCAGCCTGGGCTACAAAGTGAGCTCAAGGCCAGCTTGAACTGCATAGCGAGACCCTATCGCAAAAAAGACAAAAACAAACAAACAAACCTGGGGCTGCAGCAAGGGCCCGCGGGGCCAGCAGGTAAAGAGTTTCCCTGAGCCTTTGGTGTCCCTAAAGCTCCTTACCGAGGCCAACCTGGGGTGTGCACCGGGCTCAAGTGGGCAAGTGTGGCCCCGGTGGTGTTCACCCTGGGCAGTGCTTGGCCGGCCAGGCGGGGTTCCCTCAGCCCCTCTCCCTTTCTGGAATCTTCAAGGAGCCAAAGAAGGAGGTGCAAGGAGGGGCTATAGGAATAAATAGACGGAGACCCTGTTAGCAAAGAAAGCATGGTATACTGCCCGCAGGTGGCCACCTGGCAGCAGAAAGGCCCATTTATTCTCTAAATGCATCTCTTTGTGGATGGATCCCCAAATTCGGCTTTGGGCCTGTCCACAGCAATGAAAGAACAGAAGGGGTAGTGGGGAGGAACAGTCTGATGGCCAAGAGGTGCCTTGAAGGAGAGGGTACTGTCTGGCTGCCCCCTTAGGCCCCACTTATGAGAACTATCCAACAGTGAGCCTGAGAGAGAGGGAGCGCATGAAAGAGATACCCTGACAACAACCTCCAGGCCCTTGTTTCCTCTCCTGCACCTTCCTACCTTCCATCCTCCCAGGTCACCACAGACTTGCCAGAATCATTAGGATCCCTTCCCAAGCTGGTCACATTTCACACTTTGCAGGAAATAATTTGCAAGGCTTGCACATACCCTGGAAGAAAGGACCCCTTCCAAAACATGCTCCTTGACACAAAACAAGCTACACCTGAAGTATTGGGACTGCAAGTGGATGTTTTTGGTACCAGTTATTTCCTTCCTCAGGGAAGAAGCAAACTGCTTAGAAGTAAAATCCTCTGTCCTCCCACCAGCACCCCAAAAAGTAGAAAGTCCAAAGTCGAGGAAGAACGGAAATATCTGAGGGCTAAAAATCAGTGTACTGAGGATTTTGTTATCTGTTTCAGAATTGAACCCAGGGCCTTCACAGTGTGTAACATCCCCAGCTCCCCACCCTTTAGACAAGGTGTAAAGACTAAGTCACTAAGTAGCCCAAACTGGGCTAGAACTTGTAATCTTCCTGCCTTAGCCTCCCACAGTGCCAGGATAATAGGCCTGTGACACCACACCTGTCTCTGACAGTTGTTTAATGTAGTTTGGGGGTGTCTCGGTTACTTTTCTCTCGTGGCTGAGACAAAATACCCAACACCCAAAATGAAGGAAGGGAAGGTTTATTTAGCTTACAGTTTGTGGAGGTTTCAGTCCATACTTGGCTGGCTCCGAGGCAGAAGATAGCAAAACAACAAGAGCAAAGGGGGGAATGGCAGCCGAACAGCAATGCAGCCAGAGCAAACCGGGAGGAATGGCGGCAAGCAGCTTTTTTCCCTGCCTTACTTTGTACTTTGTAAACAGGCTACCCCCACCTAAGGGGTGTGTAGGTCTCACATAATTTCCATGCCCTGCTCTTCCACAGGCTCAGGATGTATACAAAGTAAGCACTCTGGCTTCCTGCTCAGTTACTTAGCCAAACCTCTAGACTCCCCAAGTTGACACAATGTATCAACCATAACGGGGGAAAGAGAAAAAAGTAGGTAGATTAATCCTTTTGTCACTGTGCAAGCAGCAGCAGAAACACCAAAACCACATCCAAGATTTGGAGGTAGACTTATTTTACATCAACGGGCACTGATCAGGATCATTCCCAAAATATCAGGCCCTGATCTCTGGTGGTCTAGGGTTTATACTGGATAAGCAAGCAGGAAGTACAGAAGCAGAATGGCTTGTCAGATGGGGAATGGTTTGTACAATGTGCATCATAGTGACCAGCTATGCATCACAGTGACCAGCGTTTGTAAGAGACAGGAGCGACTGGATCTGGATCAGGAACTATTACCTGGGCAACTAAGAAACTGAAGTATACTGGAGGGGGGCATTTTCTGCTACATCTAGATGATGCCTGAGGAATTCCCCCAATGTGGAGATGGGGACTTCAGTTCACCCTGACAAGTAGGTTCCTGACTCTTGTCACAGAAAAGAACTTTAGTATACATCAGTGAAAAGCATAGAAACATTTATTAGGCCCAGATATGATGGTGCAGACTTGTAATCCCAGCACTCTTGAGAGGCTAAGGCAGGAGGATCACATGTTCAAACCCAGTGTGGGCAATTTAGTGACTTAGTGAAGACCCTGTCTCAAAATAAAAAATAAAAAGGGCTAGGGATGAGCTGGGCATGGTGGCACATGCCTGTAATTCCAGCACTCAGGAGGCTGAGGCAGGAGGATCGGGAGGCTGAAACAGGAGGATTGTTGTGAGTTCAAGGCCAGCCTGAACTGTATAGTGAGACCCTGTCTCAAAACAAACCAAAAAAAGGGCTAGTGTTGAATCCCCAGTACAAAAGAAAAGGCATACACACACAGTCTCCTGCCCTGCTGGAACCCCTGCTCCCCTTACATGCTGGATGTTACGGCTTGTGTCTACATGTTCCCCCAAAGCTTCACGCAGTCATAGGGGGGACTTCTCAGAGGTGGCTATAGCTAGAGTGTGTGGTGCTGGGATCAAGGGTGTGCAATTACTAATCAGTCCGGTGATGGGTTTGGCATAGTTCTGGCTAAGATTAAGGATGTGTGTGCTCACCCACTCTAGGGTGGGTAGCCTGCAAAAACACATGAGAGACAGAAAGAGGGCTAATGGCCTCTTTCTGCCCACTTGCCCTCACTGATGCCCCCTTTCTACCATAGAGCTGGTTTAGTATGGACTAAACCTCTATACACTGTAAGCCAACTAAAACTTTCCCCCTTTAACTTCGGCTGTTCGGTATTTTGTCTCAGCAATAAAAAAGTAAGACACTGGACATCCAGGAGGCTGACCTTATGACTTCCACTCCTGCAAACAACTTTCCACTGTGATGAATCCTTCCAAGATCTCTTACAGATATCAACAGAGTGACTAAGTATCCTGAGATCTAAGGAGTTGCGCTGCCCTGGCAGACCTGAGGTCCAAGCCTGGAATCCTACAAATTTAACAAAGGAATCTCCTTTGTCAAATTCCATCTTGATCCCTGCAAGCTGCCGTGGGATTTAGCCACCAAAGCTAAATCCCAGGAGCTGATTATTGTTACCTGTTCAATAGTCTCCAGCCCCACTGTTACACATTTCTAGTAGAAGATAATGAGCAGTGTGGTAGGAATGTAATCCTACCCTTCTGTTACCAAAAGTGATGACTGAAACAGAGGAGACGTGCCTGGCTCTCTCATTTTTCTCCTGCTGGTTGGAGCAGTGTGTGTCTTGGCCAGCAGCTGCCTGCTCCTTGCTTCCCTTTACTCTCCCTTGCACCTTTCTTCCTTTGCTATCTAGCAGAGTCCTCTCTGGCTAGGAAACCACCATTTCCCACTCCAACAGGAGTGCAGGGAGGCAGTGTTGCTCCCAGTTCCCAGCTCCCACCACTTCAGTCGATACTGTTGCATTTTGAGAACAGAGAGTGCTGCCCAGAGTAGCTACCAACAGAGAAGGAGGGGTCTGGGCCCCTTATTTACAGCAAACCTTCCCAAAGTTTCCCTTGTTTCAGCCCTCACCCTCAAGGAAATAGGTCTGCAAATGGCTACATAAGTAGCACTTCTGGGTTGCAGCTTCTGGGTTGCAGTCCAGGAGGGCTGCTTGCTGAGCCCCTCTGTACTATAGCACAGGCCCTGTTACAACAAAGAATCACCTTGGTGAGACTGCAAACCTGGTTGTAATTTTTCTTTGTGTGTGGTGAGGGCTCCAACAGTCCTGTCAATGTACTTGGGATTCTTATCTTGAGTAATATAGACAGGACAGTCTTTTCTCAGGAAAAACAAAAACACAGCTGTTAATACCAGAGTTTCAGGGATCAGCAGCCAATGAAGATGGTATGTAGTGCAGTCCTTCAACGTACAGTGTTCAGCACAAACTGGTGTCAGATGGTGACAGCCAGCAGTGGCGGTGATCAGCAGCTGGCTGTGTCAGCTGTTGGGATCCAGCATTACCTGGTGTTATCTGGTGACTGCTAGCAGAGCTGCACTTTGCCCATTCACAATTTCCATCTGAATCGAGCAAAAGAACCCTAGGCTGATTGGCAACAGACAATGTAAGCTGCTTCAGAAAGAATTTTTTTAACTCAAGAATTGACATCAGAGAGATCTGAACTTTCCACTACCCCCCAAAAGTGAATGAACCCATGAATTAGCCAGGAGGATGAAGTTACTGGGTCTCAGACCCTTTCCTCTGACGTTCTGGGTGTTTGGAGCCAGAGGTCCCCCAGTAAGGCTAGCTTCAGTGTCTGTTTTTTTTGTTTGTTTGTTTGTTTTTGTTTTTTTTTGTTTTTTCTCCGGTACCGGGAACCAAACTCACGACCTTGCACTTGCCAGGCAGGCGCTTTGCCGCTGAGCTAAATCCCCAGCCCCTAGTGTCTGTTTTGATTGTGTTCCCTTCAGCAAGGGATAGGATGTCTCCTTTGTGTGTCACTGTGGGGAATCCCATAAGATAATGTCAATGAAAACAGCAGAAGGGGGCAGCATGTAACAGGTAGAAAGCACTTAGGAATGGTTATCCAAATGAACTAACTTTTCTTTCTTTCTCTTGGTGTTACTGGGGATTGAAGGACCTTTTCACTGAGCTATTTACCCAGCCCTTATTTTGACGGAGTGTCTCACTAGGTCACTAAGTTGCCCAAGCTGGGTTCAAACTGGTGAATGTCCTGCCTCTGCCTCTCAGATTCTAGGATCACCATGCCTCCCTGCACTTTTAACATTTTCTAAAGGGGCTTGCGCAAATGTGCTCCCCCGCCCCCATTCCCACGAAGTAGCAGGTGTGGTGGGGCCCATCCTCAGGGAGCCCACAGCTGTCCCAGAGACAGGCCCCATGGACTTTAATATCTTGATGCAATGGATCAGATAATTATGATCCATTGTGCCTGCCAGGCACTGGTGAGACCAGTTCCCAGGCCTCAAAGGCTCATGCTGGCTTCTGGGACAAACTCGCTATAGGCAAGTTAGGGCAGCTGAAGGCGTTTGCTTTGGCCAAGGAGCAGCCTGATTGAGACAAAGAAGTGCCTGACGCTTTTCCCTGCCCAGCTGGAGCAGAGTGTGACTTAGCTAGTGGGTGTCTGCACCTCCTCCTAACACCCCAGCAGGCCGTCTGCACCTCCCCCTAACACCTCAGCAGGCCGCAACAGTTTGTATCAGTGTCCTCCCTAGTATCAAAACAACGATTTCCAGGCCAAGGTGAGTGCAGGCAGTCAGTGCGTGCCCTTTCCCCATCCCCCTTACTCCAGAAGATACTGTTGCATTTTAGAAGAATAGAGAGGGCTCCCTGGGTGGCTAAAATCAGAAAGGGAGGGATCTGGGCTCCTTATTTGTATACTTAACATTCACAGCAGGTCTTCCAGAAGATTCTCTGGTTTCTGTCTTCAGTGAAACAGGTCTGCAAATTGCTACATAAGTAGCACTTCCCAGGTACTTGGGGGGTTTAGTTTGGGAGACTTCCTGTCTGTGTACTGATCCCCGAGCGATGCAGCACAGGCCCCACCTGGCCTGGGTTATAGTAAAGAAGCATTTTGGTAAACTGGGTGTTGTAGCCGGGCAGGCCTGTACTCCCAGCACTCAGGAGGCTGAGGCAGGAGGATCATTTAGAGTTAGAGACCAGCCTGGGCTACAAAGTGAGCTCAAGGCCCACCTGAACTGCATAGGGAGACCCTGTCTCAAAAAGACCAAAAAAAATCACTCTGGTGTTCTTGTAGACTCAAGTAGTGTGGATGGAGCATACTGAGCGATTGGTTTTGGTTTTTAAAGAATCAGGAACAAGCCCTTAGAGACCAGAGAAGGGATTCGCATCCAATGGTGACAGCAGTGACCAGCAACCGACTGTGTCAACTGCTGGCATTTAGCATTACCTGGTGTCATCTGGTGACATCAGGGCTGCTAGCAGGGATTCACTTTGTCCATTTACTAGGCTGACTGGCAACACGATCATTCCTTATCTTGGCCTTCTGGCACACTGCAGGAACTGCATGTTTGTTGAATGAAAACTGCGAGCTTGAGATCTGGACATACCTGGAAAGGCCCAGGCGTCCTGCACGTGGCTTGGCGGCCCTGCACGCGCCTCTGGGGACGCTGAGTCACAGCGCGCGGGCACGGACCTGGCGGGGGAGC